TCCTCCTCCCTGCTTCGTTTCCCTGGTGCCCCTGATCTGCATCCGATACCCGTGTCCCTGTCCCTGCCTGCACCATCCCGTCCCCAGCCCCGTGAAACTTAAGCAACCTGTTGGGAGGGGACTTGAAAGCAGAAAGAAAGGAGAGCAGGTTTAATGTCGCAGCTTAAAGTCAACAAGTCTCAAAAGGAAAACAAAAGTCAAAGCAGAATCTTAATGGTGTTTTTTTTGTTTTGTTTTGTTTTGTGTTTTTTTTTTTTCTTTCGTTTCGTTGTTTCGTTTTTTCGTTAGCAACCCAACTACTGGAGCTTTAAGGTCAGTATTTCGGATATTTTTTTCATGCTTCTGTTTGAAATGCATGCGCTTTTCCACCCTCGCCTCATCTCTGTGTCTGTGGAGGGGGGGGTGGGAGCTCTGGGGGGGGTGGGTTGTTTTTTGGGGTGAATTCCTGTAGCCAAAGTAGCTTGTTCTCAGCTCAGCAGCAGTTTAAGCTGGTGAGAAGGTTCTTAACGCTTTTTGGGTCGAGTTGTGCGGGTCCAAACCTGTTCTCTGGGAGAGGTGAGCCCGTGTCCTACCCCCCCAATTTAGATCCCTCTCCCTCCACAGTCAAATCCTGCTGTTTTGGAGCTGTTTGATTGCTGCTGAGTCCTTAATTCTGGGAAAAAGGACAAAAAAGAGCCTGTTCTGGGCTGGGCTGGGAGACCCACCTGTGGAGCCGCCTCTGGGTGCCCGTTCCCAAGGCAGAGAGAGGAGGGTTGCTCTGATTCCTCCTCCTCCTCCTCCTCCTCCTGGGAGAGCTGCCCAGCAGAGCCTGTCCCCTCCCTTTGGTGGCCTTTCCAAGCCCCTGTGGGTCCCTTCTCTGCACTGGACCCTTCTCCCAGCACCTCATCCCCCTCTGGGGGCTCCTCATCTCCCCCTCCTTCCCCACCAGGCTGATGGGGAGGACACTGGGAGGGTCTGGGGGCTGTGGCAGGAGGTGACACTGGTGGAGAGGGAGGAGGAATGGGCTTTGCTGTGATTTTGGTGGTTTTTTTGGTGTGTGTTTGGTGTGTCGAGGGACCTCCAGACCTCTTTGTCAGGCTGGTGGTGCCAGGAGGGGAGGGGGCAGCTCTGTCCTGCCTTGCCCATCGCATCTCTGTCTCCATCCTCCGCTCGGGCGCTGCGGTACCAGCCTGTTCCTGTGCCAGCAGTGGGAGAACTGGGGAAAAAAATCAGTGTTTGCTTTATTGCACCGAGATCTTAACCCTAAACCCACCTCTTCCTGGCCACACAAATTAGGGGGGGGGACACACACCCTGATGGGAGTCTCCTGGCAGTGCCCGGGGTCTCTGCCCCCCCGGCGATCCCTGCCAGCACCTTGTGAACAGTTGCCCTATTGTCTGGTGGTTTTTCGGAGTACGCATGTCACGGCGTGTCCTCTCTCCTCCGCAACCCCCCCGGGATGCGGTGACAACCCCTCAAGGTCAGGCGTGTGGTTGGGGTGAGGGGGGGGAAGGTGACCTTGGCGTGTTCATCCCCCCTCCCGGTGGAGTTTTTCACTCTTCCCATAGGAAAATCCAGGCGCTTTCCCTGGGGGAGCGGTAAAACGTGGAATATGGGCCCTTGTGCCGAGTTTTCTCATTCTTGGGAGTACTCTCAGGGTGAAATGCCTGGAAATGTTCAGCTGTTGGGAGCTCCCACCGGCTGCTCTCGGGGACATTCCTGGGACTGGGGGGGGGAAAGGCACAAAAACCTCAATTATTTTTAGTTCTGCAATTTGTTTTCTCTGCATTTTTTTGTCAGTAAGAAATGGGGATAAGCTTTAGGGGTCCCCCCCCTTGGCTGGGGCTCCGCAGCCACACGAGGCTGCGTTTGCTGGAACTCCCTGTTTTTCCACCCAAGCTGGGAATTATTTTGCATCCTAAGTGGGAGCATCATCCCGGGCTGCGTCCACGTTACGGGTTAAATCACCCCACAGTTCCCAGCTGCCTGACCCTGCTACCAAACTGGTGGCAGCTGGGGGCAGCTTGTCCCGGGGAGAGCCCCGGGGGGAGGCTGATCCTGGCAAGCAGGTGCCAGGGGCTTCCTTGAGGCCACCGCAGCCACCTGTGTCCCCTGGGGTCTTCTGTAGGCTTGGCCTTCAGCTGGGAAAGCTGCCTCCCCAGAACCTTCTCCTCCCCCCCACCTTCCTGGATCTGTCCCCAAAATAAGTCTTTCATGACCCTGTAGGTTCCCTGCGTGTCCCCTCCTGCTGCTGGGGGTGCAGAACCAGCCCTTCTCTGTCCCACCCCGGCCAAAAAGGGGGGTGCTGAGGCCAGAGCCCCAACTGATGGGGGACGGAGGGGATAGGATGGTGGGAAAGGGCTGTGCCAAATTCTCAGGGACATCCCGGGAGGTGATGTCTGATGTCCTGCTGCTGAAGGGTCTCCAGGGCAAGATCTGGGGGACCTCCTCCTGCCCTGGCATCCCCCATCTCCCTGGGGACAAGGGCACATGCGATTTGGGGTCCTCCAAGGGTGGGTTTTGGGGGAAGGGGGGGCTCTGCATCCCCTTGTTTGTGGGTCTGGGTGCTGGAGATGAGCAGATGCTCTTGTGTGTCGGTGGCAGCGCCGTCATTGAGGAGAGGGGACCAAGAGCTCGTGCTGTCCCCAGCCCGTTGTCCTGGTCGTGTCCCTCTGCCCTGCTCCCTCCTCCTGCCCCAGCGCAGCCCTGGGGCTTCTACCTTGGCTTCTAGATGGAGCCAGTCCCTCTGGGCTCAGGGTTGTCCCTTCCCACCAGCTGGGCTGTGTGCTCTCACCGAGCCATCCATCCAGCCGCTCCGTGGCCATCGTCACGCTGCTCCTGGTCCCCAAGTCCCCAGGCAGATGCCCCAGTCCCTTGTTCAGGGCAGCATGGTCCCCAACCCACCTTTCCATCCCCTGAACCCCATCCCAGCTCACAGCCCCCCCATCCCAGCTCACAACCCCCCCATCCCAGCTCACAGCCCCCCATCCCTGCTGTTTTGGGGTCACTCAAACCCATCTTTGGGGTGTCAGTCTCTCCTGGGTGGGAGCATCCCAGCACTGCTGGACTCCAGGGACACATCCCTGGCTCTGGCCATGGGGCAGATCCCTCCCGGGGGGTGCAGTGGGGCTCCGTGGAGCCCTGTGGGGCAGTTTGGGGGGGCTGGGGGCTCCCGTGGTGCTGGCACAGGGGGTGGGCTGGCTCCTCGCTGTGGCTCGTGGGCTGGAGGAGGAATGGGAAGAACCGATCGTAGGAGCTCCTTTGGTGATGGGGCTTTGAAAGAACATCAAAGGGACACCAGCAGAAAACTCTGTGGGGAAAAAAACGACTGGGATGTGGAAGGGAGACAGATAGGCAGGGGGGGGACACACACCGAAGACACTTTTGTCTTTAAAACGAGTGTCTGGGGCTGTGTCACCCACGTCGTGCTGGTGCTGCAGAGCTCCAGCAGCAGCTGATGGTCTGATGGAGGCTGGGACTCCTCTTCCTCGGGCACGGCCAGGGCTTGGGGCTTCCCAGGAATGGGGAGCCTTTTCCATCTCCCCTTCCCGAGCCAGTGTTAGGGCAGGAAATGGAATTTACTCGTAGGAGAGGAGCAAATTCCAGGCGGGTTTAGCTCCTGTAATCCCCTGGCTCCTGCACCAGCCTCCTCCCCACACCCTCCCCCTGGCCTTGGCAGCCACCACGCTCCCGGGGACCGGCATTTACCCCGGAATATTTTATTGCTGGAGGGAGGAGGGGGCTGGGATGTACCCGGGAGGGATGAGCAGCCCCTCCTTGCTCTCTGCTTTGGGGGAATTTGCTGGTTTTCTGACCCGTCCCTGGGTGCTGCTCTCCAACACTCCATTTGGTGCCAAATCCTGGTGTCGTCGCTATTTATTATCGTGACAGGGATGAGGGTCACATCCTGGGTGTAGGAAGGGGGAAACTGAGGCACGGTGGGACTGGGTGACTTGCCCGAGCGTACCAGCCCGACCTTCAGCAGTGTTTTGGGCTGATATCCCAGATTTGGGGCTGTTTATCTACAGCTGTTCCTGCTGAAGTTGGGATTTTTTTTTTCAGTTTGTTTTGTGTGGGTTTTTTTTCCCCCACTTCAAACCAGCCCTTTTGAGCCATTTTCCCAAGAGGCTCCTGCACATGTTAAGGGGAGCCTGGCCCCCCCCTGTACAGCTGTTAAAGCAAATCATGCCTCAAATGCCACCGAGCTGAGCCTTGTCACCTGTCACTGTGAAGTCCCCGGCACTAATGCTGCCAACCCCGTGTCCCCAGTGCTTTGCAGCCTGTGTCACCTCCCCTCCTGTCCGTGGCTGCAGCCCCGCGACCCCCAGCAAGGCTGGTGGTGGGGGGGGGGACGACGACTCGTCCCTTCTCTCCCCCTTTCCCCCCTTTTCTGCTGCTTTCTCACGCTTGGCTTTGCTTCCCCCCCGCCGGCGTCCCTGAAGGATGCAGTAATTTGCTTATTTTTGGAAGATGCTGTCAGACAAGGCAGCGTCGCCGGAGAGCGGGGATCGAAGGCGGCCGCCGCTCAGCCCCAGCGAGGAAGAGGATGGTTGGTCGGGGGGGGAGCATCCAGGTGGGGCCGAGGTGGCAGGGAGAGGGGCAGGACTGGCATCCTCACCCCACTAAAAGCATCTCCTGCCACATACCCCTCTGTAACCCATCCCCTGGGACCCCCTCAGCCTCCGGGGAGGTGCTGGATGGAGGTTATTCCTGGACCCCCCCACCTGTTGGTCCAAGGTCTCGTGGCAGGGACACTCCTGTCCCCAGGGATGCTCCTGTCCCCAGGGACGCTCCTGTCCCCAGGGATGCCAGGCTGGATGTGGGGCACGGGGAAAAGAACTCCAGGAATGAAAGCCCGGCTGCCTGTGCTGGGAGGTTAATGATTATCATCCCCATGGCAGCCAAGGTCGTACCCAGTGCTGGGAGATGGGGATGGGGGGTCACAGCGTGTCCCCTCTCCCGGGGCTGGTCCTGGGCACCAGCACCTTCTGCTGCCCCACGGCAAGCAGCAAGACCACTCCACCCCTGTGCTTTGGGGAAGAAAACGGGTGTTTTGGGGGCTGAACGGCACAGTGTAGTGGGGAGAGCTCTTGGAGATGCCTTCTCCCTCAGCTGGGAGGTTAATGATTATCATCCCCGTGGCAGCCAAGGTCGTACCCAGCTCCGGGAGATGGGGATGAGGAGTCACAGCGTGTCCCCTCTCCTGGGGCTGGTCCTGGGCACCAGCACCTTCTGCTGCCCCACTGCGAGCGGCAAGACCGCTCCACCCCCGTGCTTTGGGGAAGAAAATGGGTGTTTTGGGGGCTGAACGGCACAGTGCAGTGGGGAGAGCC